CACAAATAAATCAAAATGTATCGGATGTACGATTAGCAAACTATCGTTTAAAAACGTATGACTAATGTTTCCATAAGTTATGCACATCAAGGATTCTGAGTGACACTTTTTCAAGGTTCCATTTATTCATAAAGATTTGTTTCTTTATAAACCTATTGTAATGGTTTTTCATTCAGGAGAAAATCAATATTCACCGGTCAACCAGGTAGTATGAATTTAAAATATCCGAATATCATTTATAAGTAAAATTCACAACACACATCTATTCTATTTGAAACACTTCAGCTGGATATACATGTTAATGACTTTAGGCTATATCGAGGCAATCCGCACAAAATGTACATATGCCAATATGAAAGTGACAAATTGAAGTCCTAAATAACAGTGAGAAGATACAAGTAAAACAACACCAAGTGAATTTATTAATGATTATGTTCAAACCTGAACCCAGTATTTATCCTTTTGGATCTTAATACCATGTGTGTTCTAAATCCTTATTTCTTTAAATTACTATACTTGCGGTGTGTGCAACTTATGTGGACAAACATAATTAGTATGTAGCAGGAATTGGAAGTGGGATATTCACAGCGAGATGATTAAAAAATAAAGCGAAGAGGCAGATGGAGTATGTAGAGAAAGGAAGATATGAAAATGATGTATCTAATGTATGATTTTCATATTTATAAAGCCACTGTTGAAATATGATAATATCAACACATTTGAAGTTTAACAAATACGTCAAAATTCATATTTATTTTAATTAAAGTATCCTATGTAGTATGAAACTAACTGGTTTGAACTACATTGATACAATTTGTTTATCATGAAATGGTTTCATTGTCTGTGTGGATACTTCAAGTTTAATGTCAAACAATATCAAGAATGATCTTTATTATATATTTTTTTTCTTGTTTATTTTTTGTTTTATGATCAGGCTTAACACATGTTATCGATTTGTCATTGAAACTTTAGTTAAAGTTTTTTTAAAAATCGTGTTTCCATTTTATGTTTACAAAAATTAAACACAAATTACAATAATTTGCATATGTTCTCAATCACTCAGTGATGATATTCATAATGAACGCTATTTCTCTAATTGTAAAATAAAGAAGCTGGTAATTTGAGGATATTTCTGTTGAGGAGTTATTTTACAATGTAAATTCATTTCTCTCTGTGTTAACAATACTTAAAACACTAGATTAGTGAGCTCATTAATGTAAATATTTTTAGTGCTTAATTTTACAATATACAGTATGATCCTCAAATAATTTACAAACTCTTAGATGATTGTTTTGAAGTGCCTCAAAGGAACTTTCGTGTCAGTGACCCTACTATCAACGTTTCCTACTTGACCTATATTTACTAAAACAACTAAAGAATAAGCCTTCAGATTGAAACTGTACAGTCTGCATTTGTAAATTTGTTTTTTTCTTATCGAATAAGGTGTATTTGTTGTTCAATAGGATTTAGGGAAACTTTCCCGCATTGCTAAAATAGGTAGTAGTAGATGCATAAATCATTCGACTACAGAACATACTACCACTACAGAGTATTCATTCAAAACAAAATTATTGCTCGAAATTCTCCACAAGCTGAACAAAAATCTAGCGCAATATTATGTTCTCGTTTAACTTCTACACACATGAGACCTATACGTCTACGAAAGGGTCTTTACCTTATTATTTGAGAATGGGATCAACACAGTTATCTTTACGAATTGTATAGGAAGGGGTTTTGTGGATAATATAGCAATTTGATAGTTGAGATCACGAGTCAATTGAAGCTAGATTCGATCACAAGATCTATCAGACTCGCACGTGAACGCTTGACCTCTGGACCACTGATCTGGCCGGCATCCAACAGTGTTAATGTCTAACTTCAACTAATCCACGAAATTGAGCGACACATCCACCATTGTCCTCAGTGAGTTACTATCTCACACCAGACCCGGTTGAATTCCACTGACCACTGCTTCTCACTAAAACTCCAGGAAATATCTCTTGAAGCCAGTCACTTTTGAGCATATGTTGATTAATATCAGAAGGGGATTTTGTAGATATTATATTAATTTCAATAATTGAAAACATGAGTCAATTGAAGTTAGACCACTACGGCCATCCAGTGCTTCCAGGTTTTTCATGATGGTCTCGCTTCAATTGACTCGTGATTTCAACTATTGAAGATATATGTCATATGTTATATGCATATATACATGACAACCCGTATTATTTAAGATTTTAACCTCAATACAATCTTACCGATATCGTGCTTGGTTAAGGATATACTTCTGGTTTAGCTGTGATAGGATTTATTTATTTTTTAACCAGTAACGAAACCTATAAAACAATCAGTAATCTTTTGAAATATTCACAGTTAGTCACCATTTCTCTCTGTTTATAATTGATATATTATAGCTTTATGCAAAGTTTATTCTTAGCATTCTTATTAGGGTCATTTTATAGTTTCAAAGTATTTACAGCTTCAAAAATAACATCATTCACAAATGATTTGACATGATCGCATGTCATTCTAAGGTTCTTAGTCTTGCTCAGTAATGACCTCAAACGAATTTCAATATTGAACTTTTGAGATATTGGGCTTGCTTAAATAATTCTTACTTCATAAAGTTGAAAAACATTCCAAGTATTCTATTAATCTAATTATGAAACATGAATTAGACCATTCTTGGTATTCAGAACCACCGAATCAATTAATTCGGTTACTCTACAAAATAATGTAAGTAAATATACCAACATTGAAACATAATAATTTGATCTAATCAGTAATAAAAGCTTCTGTTAATTTTGATGAGAAAAAATTATAATTACTTTGTATAATTCTATTTAAGTGAAGTATACTATTATTAGAGCTGTTTTGAGTTAAATACTAAAATGTATACCGAATGTTAGATAGGGAATATTTTTTGAATAGGCATGCATTTAGAGTTATAATTATCGATCTACCGGTCTATAAAATCTTTTTCTCTTGTAATTACGCCATAGAACAATTATAGAAGTTTGTATTGATTAATTGTTTGCTTTAAATTAACATAAAGATAATTAGGTTAGTAGAAGTATTTACGTAAGCTAGATTTTATTTGTCTATCTAGCCAGCTCTATCTACTTATTATAATAAGTTTGAGACTGACCAATTTTATTTCTTCCATATATTAAGTAATATTTAAGATAAAATTTAACGTTAACATATAACCGTGTTGAAATCTGTCGTAGATCTCTGTCATTCGTGAGACATTTTATACACTGAGTAATAATTAGTGTAAATAAACTACAACTATTTTTCATATTCTGCAAGGCATTCCGCGTTATAATGCACATTATTATCCCTGTAGTTACCAATGACGATATCCGAAAATAATCACTAATCATTCATTCAACATATCTGGGTCCTGGGTTCGAATCTCGCGGGAGGCGAAATCGTGGATGCGCACTTCTGAGTCGTCACACTATAGGACGAAATGGCCGTCCAGTGCTTCCAGGTTTTCCATAGTGATCTAGCTTCAATTGACTTATGATTTTAAGTATTGAAATTTCTAAAAATTTCCACAAAACCCTTTCAGATATCTGTTTCGTACTTACAAATTTAATACTGACTTCATAAAACACAAGTATGTGTTAGTGATAACAATTTAGGCAGTACGGATGAATGAAAGTAATACTAGTGACCGTAAAGATAGATTTGTTTTTCAAGAAACCATTAATCGGAACAAAAGTAACCAGCTTATGTGATTATCAACGCGTAATACGCTTTAAGATCTATCCTCTTGCCTCTATATAATAATTGTAGAAATATTTTAGTCCCATTGGTTAACCTTTAAAAAAACAGTAATAAAGTCAAAAATTGTATTTTACTCTGTTTTTGCTAATTTCCTTAAACTAATATGACTATTTGATTGAATTAAAACTGGGTGTTAGGTTATCAAATTGTTTACATATTTGTAAAACTAGAAGTAATATCTGTTTACTTCTTAAAATTTTGACCATTAAAACAGTGACTGAAAGGAGTTTTTACGTTCAAATTAGTTATGACAATGAAGTATGTAACACTATTACTAACCACGATGAAAAACACTATTCTTCAAATTCACTCGGTGTTGTTTTACTTATATCTTCCCAATATTATTTAGGACTGCAATTGATCAGTTTCTTGTTGGCATATGTGCATCCTATGCGGATTGCCTCGATATAGCCTTAATTCACAAGCATTCTATGCAAAGATGGATAGTGGCTAGCAAAGGAATCCAGTTTGCCGCGCGTTTCGTCCTATTTGTGATTCGTCAACTAGATGTACCCGCACCTGAGTTGATGTTCCTTTTGTGGCTCGAACTCAATACCATTCGCTTTAGACGCCATCGTATTATCCAGTATGCATATATGCCAATAAGATTTTTCAAGGATGCATATCATTATTATATAATAATAATTATTAATATCCATCTTCATTATTAAGAAATTAAAGACAAGTGATTTCTGGAAATAAAATGACCAAATAACCAATAGGAAGATGGTCTTTATCAACTTTTTATTAACTTACAATTGGTCTATTCAATGTCATTGTGTACCGATATTTTAATGATACATTGTAAATTAGCTTTTAATATGGCATTTATCAATGTGATTATTATTATTATTTTATATTTGGGAATCAATTTTATCAAGTTTTAATTTTAATCTTATACTACTGAATATACTACTAATGTATAGAATTAAATACATTTGAATAGACGGAAATAAATGAATTCATATTTGATCAACCGAATGAAATTATGGAAACACAGAAAATATTATGAATCTACCTATCTATCTATGTGTACTGTGTGAATGAGAAGCTCTTATAAAAACGTTATTTTACAACATACATTGAGAAATGAATCAAAGAGACTTGATCAAGCTTGAAAGTAGTGCTACATTTTCATTCACAATCATTTCGTAGTCACTGTATGAATTTTGACCTACCTCTTATTTTTATGTAGTTCACAGTTAATGGATATCATGAAAGTAAGTATGTTGTTAATATTTGAAATTTCCATGAAAATAAATTACACAAATAAGATACTTTACTGTACTACTACTACTACTACTACTACTACTACTACTACTACTACTACTACTACTACTACTACTACTACTACTACTACTACTACTACTACTACTACTACTACTACGACTACTACTACTACTACTACGACTACTACTACTACTACTACTACTACTACTACTACTGATAATAATAATAATAATAATGGAAAAAAATTTTAGTTCACGTACATACTTCCGATAGTTTGGTATCTATGATATGGATGATTTATCTACAAATCCTCATTGGCACAAATCCAACTGGAATAAAGTTTTAATAGAACACGAAGACTCTCTAGTACTTTTGGTGAAACATTTTCCTTTTTAAACATGATTAAGTTCCACTGATTATGCTTTCGTTCATGATCCATCTTAGCGGTTGCTGATAATATTTGCCAAAGCAGTAACATAAGTTCGAGAGTTGAATCATTTAATTAAGCAAATTATAGAATAGAATTGTTTCCTACTTTGATTTACCTCTGGTTTATATATGTATATCTACATATACGTGAATTAAACATTAATGTCAGCGTGTCAAATAGATGTAATTTCTTCAGTTAGCTCTTTTTATATCCTTACTGACTTATTGGCTTCTTCACTATTTTTAATTAGAGAGTAAGCAACGTAGATTATACAAGTTCAGTTCGATGACTTTACCTACAGCTCTGTTCTCGTTCACAATGAGTCATACTTGACAAATAGCAAATTGATGAGTCCATCAATTTTTTTAACGTTAGTAAAGTAATAAAACCATGTTTATTGATTGTCAAATCATCATGTTTTATTGGCTAGATATAAATATCTATGTGGAAAGATTTAACTCATTCGAATTATGAAAACAGAATTCAACAATTACTCGTAATATACAACTGATATCTACAGTCTGAATATATTAAAGACTGGTTTTAAGTTAAGCTACTGATATGAAACTAAATTTCCAAAAAGGAGTAACATTTCAAAATAAACATTGTCTATGAATTCATCAAAGCACGAATTTCAGCAAAGTTAGTTGAAAACTATTCTCATATTGAATTATGTATTTGACAAGAAATGATTTGAATATTAGGTATGATCCTTTTTATTTTATATTTTAGATCATTTTTTCTTGATGTGATCATGTTATCTAAATGATATAAATTGAAAAACAGATATAATGTTTCTTTTATCAATAAGATGAGACTGTTCATAAAGTTGAAATGAATTCAATTCAGTTTCATGTCTTTATTGATTTATCAGATCAAAAAAAGGTTGTTGGATCTAATTACTTTACAACTAAAGACTAATTATTCCTTCAAAAATAACAGTCAAATATGATATTATGCGAATATTCGTCAATGAGGGAAAGACTAATTTAACAGAAATTGGACACCGAATAGAGAGTAGTCATTACAGAAAAGTATACGGTTCCATATTAGGACCATGTTGGAACATTTTTGAAGTATTTAGGTTTCTTCAAAATTAATCTTGTGTCCTGTTTCCAACGCATATGACACTATCCAAGACTTATTCACAAGTTTGTTTTTATGAAATTGTTGTTTTTTTACATTTAATTATCTACGTTAAATATGATTGTAATGCAGCTTATGTGGGAGAAATTTTCAGACAATTGAATGTAAGGTTGAAGAAACAAAGACACTGAAAAATGTCCCGAAATCCTCGGTTGATCTCAAGAAACTTGAGAATAAGTCTTGGATAGCGTCACATGCGTTAGAAACAGGACACAAGATTAATTTTGAAGAAACCAAAATACTTCAAAAAGGCTCTAACACATAAAAAACGGTTGACAGCAGAAGCGCTGTATATATGGGCGAACAAGAACAACCTGAACCGAAAGCATGATATCCAACTAGCAACTACTTGGCAAATATGCCTTAACAGGTATTTAGTCTCTTTCTCTATCCAACTTGTTTATTTCACATGCATCATTATGTTGACGGAAATCGGTGTGAGCTATTTTTAGCAATAGTTTCATGTAATTGATGATTCTCATTTTCATTTGCACATCAATGATTCAGAAACAATTGTCAACCTACAACTTGCAACTTTATTTATTCCTTCATATTAACACCGAATATCAATCATTACTAACTCAATCATACACACACACACACACACAAAATTTGTTTCAGTCGTGAAAATTTTACAGAATTCGCATTTAACTGACTCATGTTATGGTGTTTTCTAAAGTCGACATCCAAATATGATTGCATTAGCACGGTATAGACTTGATCTGATTTGATTGTTAACACGCTATATCATCATACTTTGGTGATTTTGATTATCACCCTGAAGAAGTCCAGACAAGTTGGTTGGACGAAACATCGGAATTATTTTAAATTTCATACTTTGAAATTATTTCAAATATAATTTTGCACAAATAATAAACAGATAATTCCCAATAAATGTGTGTGGTACCCAAAAGAATTAAATAACATGGAACCGTATACTTTTCTTTAATGACTACTCTATATTCGGTGTCCAATTTCTGTTAAATTAGTCGTTCCAACATTGACGAATATTCGTATAAACTAACTTAGTTTAAAGAAGGAACGAATTGAGCCAAGAAATTTCTTTTCAATTAGTTTTTCATCATGGCTCTACACTAATATATATATATGATTTACAAAAAAGATATAATACTCATCGAATGGATACGTTACGTAATAGTTACATAATGAAATTTATAATAACATTGAGTACTTGGAAGAAAGAGGAATATTAATAGTCAAAGTGATGAATAATCCTCTTTCTTCCAAGTACTCAATGTTATTATAAATTTCATTATGTAACTATTACGTAACGTATCCATTCGATGAGTATTATATCTTTTTTGTAAATCATATATATATATTAGTGTAGAGCCATGATGAAAAACTAATTGAAAAGAAATTTCTTCGCTCAATTCGTTCCTTCTTGAGTTACCAAATGGCAAAATGGGAATTTTCACTATATTGAAACTTAGTTCAACTTACAATATCAGCCATAACAAAACGTATTTCAAAAATTATTTAATATCAGATAAACAACAATTAAAAACCATCAACTGATGGTCAGTTGTTTTCACTAACCCACCGACTATTGAACTTTTGATCTTCCGGGTTTCCTGACTAGCACTCAACCATCAGATCACTGAATTAGCAGTGGTTTACATATTAATCTATTCCATGTATTTCGCAATCATATTTTCAAAGTCTTGAAAATCCTTGACATATGTTCACTAGTGAGTCCCACATTAAGAAGAAATAGCTGTTCATTGTTTGATGGTTTTATCGATTGTTAACTTCGATTAGTATATAATATATGTTATTATGTCCCACAATCTCCACAAACTCTGAACAATAAATGTTTATGTTTTTTTATTCGAAAAGACCGGCTACAGATATAATTGGAATTATATAATGATGCAATTCTATTATTTCGATCAGTTGTTTTGCAAAGTTGAGAGGACAAAAGTTATTCATTAGTAGCATAGTCATCATAAATTTTTAGTCGTTTCTTTTTCTCCCATCTTTCACCCCATATTGCAACTTTTAGTAGTTTTTTTTATGATTGTTGTTCATGATACCAGCTTATGTACACCCACATAATCTACGTGTTGTTCTGTCACGGATTTTTTATAAGAAATAAAAAATAGAACCCCGAACCATTGGAATAAAACATAAATTTACCAACTTATAGCCTATTTCTTAAAACTCCTGCGAGATATCCAAATCCAAGGGAGTGAGACGGTCACACTGATGTCGATAGATGATCATCGCATTATATTTAAATTGATTTACGTTGAGAGTATGGACCCGCGAATTGTAATACGCTGGCCTGAAAACCACTTAGTTAGGTGCTTTGCAAGATCATAACTAACCATTATTGAGAAGTCCCCCACTAGAACTATAACAGGTGAGTGATGCTGACTGGTATTTAATGGTATTCTGACGGAGATCATTTCATGCTGTTTTCCAATAGAGAGTCAATTTGAAACACGGCTTCCAAGGTGGTAGCCGAATATTTCAAAAAAATTAATAATTTTAACTTTATGCAAATTGTTCCATGATGACTAGTCCATGATACCACTTTGGAATCAAACAATGTTTAGCTTTTCTATTCTCTATGGAAACAAATAGGATTTAATTAATAAAGAGGGCCTACATATCATACAGTTGTGCATCATAAAACAATAATTACTGTTTTTAAATTTGGTTTTGCAGTCCGAAACTATTTATCTCAAGAAATAAATACATCGCATTAACTATGTCTGGTGCAGTTTGCCAGCCAATCAAGCTTGATGAGGCCTCATTTAGTAGAGCCTGCTTGGTTGTTCTGACACAAAGACTGTCATTTCTAGGCACATAAACTCACCGTATGGATATGTTTTCAAATGAAAACCTTTAGAACCTTCTAGGTATTGATGAGCATGCACGTCGAACCTTGTTGGGATATTCAGGAAAATATCCCAAAAACTATCCTGTTAAGCCTAATTCTATCCTTGGACATGAAATGATATCATCTTATTGGCCAATATTTATTTAACGTGTCATTTTCCTGTTGGCCAATATTGTACAATGTCATTTTCTATTTTATGGTACGTTGTGGTCTGCTTGATTAGTATATAAACAGAGTATTTTTGAAATATAATGATTCATATATCCGAGGCTGTGACTTGCGTTCTGGACTCAACTGGCTGGGTTAGACAGGGAAGTGGGACCAATCAGAACCCTAGGCTGTTCTACGTGTTTGCGCGTCTTTGGTCCGATCAATAATTCGCTGTCCTCTAATAGGCAGTATTTTCACGTTATAACAAACCTGAATCAAGTATACATTACCTGCATATCTGTTACATAAGTTTTCGCTTATGCATTCTGTAGCATACACATAGGCATATTCGCCTCATCAGAAGGGTTGATACTCATTGCTCTGTTCAATCATATTTGCTACCTCTTTCTTATATGTTACATGCAATCCACTAGTACATTAGCTTGGGCTCATGAACATCATAGCATAATCTTAGGCAACAGCGCTCTTAAGATGGAGCTAACGGTTACCAGTTCTTTCATCTGAATTAACTACCCCTCGTTTTTCGTTTATTTTACGGATACGTTTTTTTATTACTTAGTTGGGGCTCTTAAACATAGGGTAGGTTGTCTGACGTAGTTCATTACAAAACGGCTGGGCGCTTAGCTTATGCAGAT